CCACCCCGCCGCCCTTTTATTCCTGGCCGTATGAAGAGGAGGATCAAGTACTCAGTCGTGCTTGAAATCATGACTATTTTTGCAGTCGCAACAGCGTAAAGTGTGTCAGCATGTATCCACATTGACTAAAATATTTGCGTTAAGTTTACCAGAAGGAATATTACATCCTGTGTGTCTGTGTGATAAAGAAATAACTGAGAAGTGAAGAAACAAAATGCCGAATTCGTGTCTTTGATAAAAATTGGCACAAACGATTTCGTTCAGTGATACAATCAAAACAAAAAAAGTGTCTATTGTTTATATAAAGTTCATCCTCCGGAAAAGGGAAAGATTAGCCTTTCGAGATGTCGAGACCCCAAAATATTTATTCGACACTTTTTACTGCCCGTTTTACGGGTACGTGATGAAGAGGTTGCCAAATCCATAAGAATCTTCTGCTACTTTTAGCCGGAGTCTACTCAGTCCGTCACTTCACTTCTACAGACTAGTTTCCAGTACTTTATTCTCAAACCTCGGATGCGCATGTTAGCTGATGGCTTACCGCATGTCAGCATTGTGGGCGCTCTTGCGAAAGTTGACATAGCCTACAGCACGTGCACAACATTATGGAGACCAAAGCGAAAGTGGCCAAAGTGGAGGTACTTTGCTTTTGCATTGAGAGTTTACCCTATATGCAAAATATGTGATGCCTGTTGTTGCTTTAGGAATCCTCTAACGGTATGGAAGTCGATTCAGCAACTTCAAATCATATGGATGAGAGCAAGGAACCATGTCAGAAGCAACCTTCGTCTACGACGCCGGATTCCAAACCTTCTGCCTCTGAAATGACAAGTGCTGATTATTATTTTGATTCCTACGCTCATTTCGGTAAGTAAAGCTTGTTTATGACGTGTCTTTCGTGACGAGAGAACATCTACTAACTGTGTACTGTTTTTGACATGTTTGGGATGACAAATAATCCATGTGATGATGGATACCGTTGTGTCTTGTCAGGAATCCATGAGGTATGTGACGATCCCCTACAACACGATATCGTGTTTGGGGTGACTTCAATCGAGAAGATAACCTGCCGAGCGATTTGTAGCAATTTTACGTAGAATAAGTTGCAACTGTAGACATGTGATGTACATGATAAGCTCATGTAAGCTGCATTCAGTAGTCAAACGTCGGCATTTCTAATTCGTCTTTTCCAACCAACTTTTTTATTACTTGCTACAAAAATGTTTTTTCATTGTAACCTTAAATGATGCTGCAAATTATAGTCTACAGAAGTGCTCATTTTCGTAGAAACAGCATTATTTTGCTTCATAAGCAAATGGGAAATTATATCAAAAAAATTGTTGTTGCATTTTTGCCTTCCTGAGGATGAGGGCAGGTGTTAATATTCAAAATGTGCTGGATTCTACAAGACACACAAACATGATTTTGCAGAAAAAAAAAACATTGTGGTGAAATGAAGTGATTTGTTAGTGTGCAAAACAGCCAGCCCTATTCAGTTTGACACTACAGTATTTATGTGGGATGCAATGTGAAGTGCAAATTTTGCAAAGTGGGGGGTTTCACTTGAGGGATATCCTCAGATACTCTTCAGTTTTACCTGTGCCATGTGAAATGTTTAGATCAATTTATTGCATGGGAGGAGAATCATTAGATGGATTATAATCTGGAGTCTGAAATTTGATGCACAAAAATACATGTGCTGCTTTCAGCCCAGATATACCCTTTAGTTTCACTATTCGAACCATTACATGTGGGGTTTCCACCAAAAACCAAGTTTCTTGGGTTTTTATTTTGGCATGCTGAGAGGGAAATGGGAGATGTTATCCATGTATAATGCTTTGTGTTGTTTTCCTAGCCCTGGCAGCTCCCTTGCACATATGTTAATGACCTAATGCTCTTCTACAACAGGAAATGATCAAGGATGAAGTACGCACAACAACATATCGCAATGCAATGTATTACAACAGGCATCTGTTTCGTGACAAAGTTGTTCTTGATGTTGGCTGTGGCACTGGGATTTTGTCCATGTTTGCTGCCAAGGCTGGTGCAAAGCATGTCTATGCTGTGAGTGATTTCTTTCCCTTTGTTAGAACATTTGACTTTAACTTTAAGATCTGTTTAAGAACTGTTTTAAGGCACTGGAATCTCCAAGTTAGCCAGCATGAAGCAGATGGAAAATACTTCAAGTAGGAGCTGCAAATTTTGGTGATTTTGCAATACATACACATGTAGATGGAAAAGTTTGTTGTCTGCCAGCTCTTATTGAAGCCTTTTCTACTATTGCTTATGAGCTAGTACTTCTAACCACACATTAGATACTGTATTGCACAAGCCAGTATGTTTGGATGATATGAGATGTTTACTGCTGTCCTCTTCTGTGCACTGTCATGAGAAACATAACTGTCCAATGGTTTGTACTGACTGCTAAGCCACTCTTTCTATATGTAGGCACAAATATGTCATATACATGTATACTTGTAACCTGTTTTATTAGTACGTGTATATCCATGTAGACTGTACTACAAAATGCCTCCAGTAACTCCATTGCTTTGTTTTATAGGTTGATTTCTCCTCTATTATCGACTATTCCAAGCAAATAATCAAGGACAATGATTTTGAAGAAGGTACGGTAAAGGTAACATCTGCATACAAGCAAAGTGGCTCATCAGACCGGTGCTTATCTCCGGTTTCTGTAGCATTAAGGGACTAGCAGTATTCCTAGTGTTTAGTTCCAGAAAATATCCATACCCCCACCACTGAGGGAATTTCACCTAAGACCCCCCACCTCCCCAGAATTTCCATTTTCTGAACACAAAAATAACGTGCCTTCCCCCTCCGGAATTTCCAAGAGTATTATGTACATCCCCCGTACCCTCTGAAAAATTCATTTTGGCAAGAAGGTGTGTTAAAGTTAAAGTGAACACTCCAAATGCTTGGCTGTCTGTGTTGCATCTCACTTCTGTTTATTTTCGCTTGAAGGTAATAACTGAAGATACGCACTAAGAAAACATACAGCATTTTTTTTAACATGCCTTACAAGTAAAAAGAAAAAAAAAAGATTACTTTTCAAGTTACATGTACCTTCCAATATCACTAGGTCCCTTTGTAAATGTGGTACAATCTCCATTGAAAGACTGTTAAGCTGTGTGTGGATGAAATTGACACCATACTTTTATCATGAACGTGGTCGCTTACACACTCCCGGAGAAAGCCAATTTTTACAGCAAAATTACAAACAAATTGACAGAAATAACAAGAACAAGAAATTCTCAAGTTTCTGAACTTATAAAGAAACTAATTTTTATGAAAGAAATTGGCTGCTGCTTGACAGCTTCGAGGAGCTACGTGATAAACGAACTAGGCTAGTCACCAGTGCTTTTCTGTCCATTAAGTGACTTCATGTAGCCTGGTAACAAGTGATGGCGCCCATGTTCATGAAACATCATGTTCTTCGCACTTGTTAGCTTCCAAAGTACTTTTTGAACAAAGAAAATTTATTCAAATAAAATTTGATTTACATGTAAGTGTTCAAGCTACTATTTTTTCGTGCAAAAGATCTACTTAGTGGGTAAGAAAGGATTTTTGAACAGCTAGATCGATACTTGAATCTGTATTGAATCAAAGGACATCTGGAAACTAAATCAACTGTTCAACCCCCCTCCCCTCCAGAATTTTTGAATGTGACGGGGGTATGGATATTTCCTGGAACCACACAATCCCTCCTGGATAAATGCTAGTCCATTGCATGGTTACCCCTTAGCAATATATTTGCTAGTACCGATTTGTACACCTGGGTGGAGAGAGACACTGTGAGAATAGAGTGTCTTGCCCAAGAACACAACACAATGTCCCCAGCCAGGGCTCAAACCAGGACCTCTCAATCTGGAGTCTAGGGCACTAACCATGAGGCTGCTATGTCTCCTAAGACACTATAAAATGTTTGTGGGCAATAAATATGTTTTGATTGACACAGCTGTAGTGCTCTTCCAAAACTGAGACTTCTCATTTTCTGACTGGTAGTTGGTCGCTATGTTTTATCTCCAGGAACTCGAAACAAGTTGTCTGGTTTACTACAGTATTACTACAAAAGGTTCAAGAGGAACTTTTTCGTGAAACATTTACGTCCAGCAAAATAGACATGCAAGTTGTCTTGTCTCTGTAACAGAACTTGTTTAACGCAATCTGTGTGCAACACCTGTATAACACTATGACTTTGTGAGACATCTGGCAACACTGAAGGCTAGCTTAACTCAGCTTCTACTCGCTGGATGAATGCACACTGATTTTTTAAATCACCTTTCCACATGATTGTTTTTGTTTTTTCTTTTAGTCATCACCCTCATCAAAGGCAAAATTGAAGAAGTTGAGCTTCCCGTTGACAAGGTTGACATCATTATCAGTGAATGGATGGGCTATTGCCTTTTATATGAGTCAATGTTGGACACTGTGTTATTTGCCCGTGATAAGTGGCTGGTATGTGAAATGAATGAAAACAATCTTGGAAAATGTTCCTAGAGGAACCTTTAGCATGTTTGTGAATTGCATTTATTTTCATATACTGGATTTGGATCTTCTTATTATTTTCTCTATTTCTTGCAGAAACCTGGTGGGCTGTTGTTTCCGGACAAGGCGCAACTGTATCTCTGTGCTATTGAAGACAGGCAGTACAAAGAGGATAAAATTTATTGTAGGTGTCGGCTAAAGTGTTGGCTATTTGCACAAAAATACTCTGAGATGGATAGCCAGACACAGACTGAATGACCGACCCCAGCTGACTGAATGATTGGCTGATCATAACGTGTCAATGTATGGGAGAGTAAGTATCTAAAATGTGAAATCACTTGTTTTCAGGGTGGGACAGAGTTTATGGGTTTGACATGAGCTGTATCAGGAAAGTAGCCCTAACAGAACCTCTTGTGGATGTTGTTGAGGCCAAACAAGTCGTCACTAATTCTTGCTTAGTGAAGGTAAGTTTAGAAAAAGATATCTGTTATTGTAATACACATATATGAAGTCCCTGTTCTACCCTTCCATTACTTCATTCAAAAACAAAGAAAGTGCTTAGCTTCACTTCACTTCACTTCACTTCACTTCGAAAAGCACTTCAGTTCAATATGATAATAACTGAAAGTAACAAACTGCATTTCAGCATCCTCAAAATGTCATGGTCAAGACTCCAGAGCACAGCCCTGCCTTGAAGATCCCAAAATGTTTATTACTTTCACTTAAATAGCCTTTGTTTCTGAGAACCTCCAGGGGGAATACAATATTATTGAGTTATAAAGCACAATAGAAGTATTGAGCAAGCCTTAATTAAGTGCTGAGCAATTGACTGTTTTAAAGTTTGTAGCTTCCTCAATGATTCTTTAATTTTTTTGTATGTTACAAATGAATGCTGTTGTTGATTTTAATTTTCCTGCTGGTACTCAGATCGGACAGGTTTAAAAAAACTATTGTTTCCTTGCATGAGGTTATTTGTATCAGTATATAGATGTATCGGTTATGAGTGGTATTTTCTGTGCATAACAGCAACCATTTTAGTGTGATTTCCTCGTTTCTTTCATGGAACTGAAAAAATTTAAACTGGCAATACATAGTCAAGGTTTTTATACTTTTTATTCCATCTGCAGGAAATTGATTTGCATACAGTCAAGAAAGAGGATTTGTCCTTCAATGCACCTTTTCAGTTGTACTGTCGGAGAAATGATTACATTCATGCCCTTGTTGCATTCTTTACTGTGGAATTCACACATTGCCACAAAAGAACAGGATTCTCTACTGGTAAGTCCATTAACACCACATTGTGAAGTAGTCATGAAAGAACAAATGGCTATTTGCATGTTTTTATAAATAAAATTAAATTAGAAAACAGTCCTAAGAAAATACACGTGCTGATTGGTTAAAAATCGTGTTTCTAGAACTCAATAGAAACACAGAACTAGCACGAGCTGTTGATGTAATGATGGCGTGAGCAAAGAGAATTAACATTTTGATAATCAAAGTTAACAAGTTGTTTTCCTTTTTTCATCGCGGTGTTTTCTAAAAGAAATAGAAAACATGTTCTCCATGTTTCTATCAAGTTATAGAAACACTCCTGAAAGTTTGGGAGAACTCAAAAAAGTTGTGGAAACACTCACCTGCAGCTCGTGTTCCCACAACATTTCTCATTCTCCCAAACTTCCACTCGTGTTTCTATAACTCGATAGAAACACAGTACATGTTTTTCTATTTCTTAAATAAAAGCACTTTAGGTAATCACATCCAAACCAATCAGAGCCTGCAGAAAAAACTTGCAACTGGCTGGAAGCACAAGAAAAATCTGAAAACCTGTGTTTTACAGCTGACTGGCTGAGAAAACCCATTCCCTCTTTATTGTTTAGACTGTTTTGCAATTTCATTTTTAAACAGTTACTGATTTCATTGTTTTGTCTTTTAGCTCCAGACTGTCATTATACTCACTGGAAGCAAACAGTTTTCTATCTTCAAGACTACTTGACGGTCAAGTATGGGGAAGAGTTAATTGGAGAATTTGAAATAAAACCAAACCCCAGAAATAATGTAAGTGTCTTTACTAACTTCTTTTGTAGCTACATGTATATGTATGAACGTTTATGCTGCGTGCCAATTTCAACTGTTACTTGTTATAACACGATCTTTGCCAACATGAAGCAATTCCAAAGAAATTCTTGAACTTCCTAAAGTTTGGATTCAAACCCAAGCTCCCATAAAATACTGGAACCAGTGTTGCAATTGCTAGTAGACATTTGTTGAGAAAAAAGTTTCTTTGACTGATCTATTTTTGTTTTGAATTTTAATTGCATTTTTATGAAATTGGCTGAATACATGTGATAGCCAAATTCTTTGTTATCTTTGCCTCCTTCCCCAAAATATTTAGAGAAAATTGCTCAGTAGTAGACTTAAGTTTTACAGTGTTAGTCTGCTCGCTCAGTAGTAAAAACTAATTTTAAATGGTCTTGATCTTCTTTTCAGCGTGATCTGGATTTTAAGATCAAAGTAAATTTTAGTGGTGAGCTGTGTAATCATGAAAGTTCAGGCAACTACAGGATGCGATAGTAAGAGACTTGTACAGCAACAAGATAGTAATATAAAGGATGCCACAGGTGGGCATGCCACTAGTTGGAATAATGTAGGCAGAGTTAAAACAGTTTAGTGATATAAACAGCAGCAGCAGCAGCAGCAGCAGCAGCAGGTGAGAAAGGCAACTTTCCTGTCTTGATGCAGTGTTCTCCCAGGTTTTTTTAATGCCAGGCTGGTCACCTGGCTTGTTTGCCAACAGGGTAAAAAAATAGAATTTAATGATGCTACTACCTAGCTTTAAACCTCTGACACATTCATTTTGTGAATGATGGACAGTGCTGCCATAATTTGTCAAAAGTTTTCCATTAGTTGCAACATCTTAGCACCCTAAAATGCTCCAGTCTTCATTTTAAGGGTGCCTAAATTCATGATAAGTGTTTAAAATTTAAGTCACAAATTATTAGGAGGACACTAAAATGATGAGCAAAAAGGAAAAAACAACAGCAAGGGCCAGTATTGTTGTACTCTTCATAGTATCTCCTTTGTTTCTGTTACGTTTTTAAGGGAACAAGGGATTGTGTTGTTATATAACTTTTGCTGCATTTTTGTGCTCAGTGTACAAGAAGTGTTATTGTAAAGCAATACCCAGTCTGAGCATACCAATGTGTCTTAATGTGTAGTTAGTTTATTTTAGTTTAAATTATCATGGATTGACATTTTAAAAAACTGTTGCACCAGTACTCACCATGGGGCAACATCAGAAGGTTTTGGGTCAGATTATCTATAAGTTCTTAATTTTGCCACAAAGCTTTATTTTACTTGGAGAACAGCAAACGGAGTAGGTACGACTTAAAAACTTGGTTTATAAAAGGTGGCTCAAAACATTTGCCAGCACTTTCCAAGACTTTAAGGTTTGAAATTTTAAGGTGGTTCTGAACTCTATGTACAGAATTTTTTAAACTTTGCCAAAAGTTACTTCTTATTTGGCTTAACAAAATTTGATAATCAAAATAAAATTCACCATGTCGTTTTTGAATTTTAAGCCCTTAATGCTATAATAATGAAGCGTGTTTTAGCAGGCCATACTGTTGCTCTGGTAACCTATTGTGTCACGAAAATGATTATGTGTTCACCAATGATTGGGCGCTTTTTTGATACCATGATTGTAGCATAATCTGATAAAGAATGGTTATAATGACCCATCAAAATCAAAGTCTGGATACTACTGGAAACTGTTTTGAGTCCCCTTAATGCAGAAACTACAACTCAATTGACAGTATGTTAGCCACAAACTAATCTAATTTATTGTTTGACTCACAAAACAAGGATATACATAGTCATATTGAAATATTGAAAAATTTCAAACGGGATATCAATGTAGTTTTACTTTTAAAACCTCAAAGATATTGATAAGTGCTGCGAATCCTGTAATCTACCTGCCACACCCTCGCTTGTTTAGTTCAAGCGCTTAATTCAAGCATGTCTCTAGAAAACCACCCCAACATCAATACAGAAGTAACTCAACTTTGTACTCGCCTGAAATGTCAGTCATCACCCGTCCTCAACCTAATCCCGGGAAAGGCTGAGGGCGTGTGATGTATCAGATGTTCATACAACTGCGTATTAATTTATTTTTAGATTTCACCCGCAACTTTCTGTTTTGTTTAAAGTAAGCGGGATTTTTATAGTGTTCTCTTTCCCTTACCTCACGAGTAGGAAATCCTTGCATTAAAAGGGAACCCGTTTGCCACAGGAGCAAAATTAACGTTGCTTCTATGACGTCAGAGCAAAATACTCCGATGAAATTAAACCTCCCCGCCCCTCTAAGTGCTCGATACAGGGTTATCGCGTGACAGAGTTTTTCCTTGTCCTTCCTTTTATCCTGCCAAGGTCAACAGTTCCATTGGGAACTCGTCTGGCAGCGGTTGACATAACTTGCGAAAATGTCGCCGAGTCCGGTTAATTTTGCACTTGTGACAACGTTTAACAAAAGGTCTAAGACTAATTCTCTGCAAATAGAGTAACTGTTGTATTTCTTAAAAAGACTTCTCTTGTTTAGTTACCGTTTATATCTGCTTACCGTCCGTTTCTTAGAGTTGATGAAATGAAAATAAAAACGAGGAATTGGAGTAAGTGTTTTTTGGTGTTGCGCTCTTTTAGGGAAGAAAATCTCCACCATTTACCACCAGTTAAACGGGCGATTATGGGAGAACCTGGGGCAGTTTATAGCTTTATTGAAGACCTTGCACTTTCTAGCCTTGAGTAGTTTAAAAATCTCTCCTTTTCTATACAGCCTTCATGTTCGAATCTGCTTATCTATGAACTCGATTACTTTAGGACATTTTCGTGTAAGACCTCGCAAAACTCCATCTCGTTAGCAACTCGCCTTGTTTACCACGATATTTTCTTTATTCAATTGAACGAACGTTTCCAATGTTAATCCAAATCTCGTGAGTAACTCACCTGGTTTTCTAGAAGAATTTCCCTTGATCCAAATCAGCAGTGTGAATATACTAAACCTGACAGGAAATCTTGTGACCAACTCGCCTGTGGTTTTAGGAGATTAACATAGATGCGTTGTTTAATAATATGCTAAAAGAGGAAAGCTCGTGAATAATCTGGTTCTTTCTGAATGTACTCATTTTAGCTGCAACGACGTACCTGCATGTAAAATTTAGGTTAGAGTTGAACTTTTCTTAGCCGCGGATTTCCGATATATTCAGTTAATTTTCTTTTATTCGTTTTAATATGTGGATGTTAAATCAAAGCGGAAACTACTCCTCTCTTTGTAAGGAAGAAAAGGCAATGTTCACCTCCCTCCCCCACCCTTAAAGGTTTTGGTTTTTGGTCAACTTCATGTACAAGGTTACAGCTTTATAGGACGTTTTATTTGGTTTATTTCAATTTAGAAGGTCATTTGTGGAGGATGAGTGAAATCACCCCTGTAACCAACCCAGCCACGTTGACGTGATTTAACTCTTCTTTCTGGTCGTTGTTTAAGCTGTCTAGAGTTACCCTATACCTTCCCCTGACGTACCACATGATAGTATCGAAAAAACACTGGGATAATCCGTTCATGCAGTATGTCGACATTTACGCGAGGGCCAACAGTGATTATGGAAACCATACCCTGCGCAGCAAGCATTCCCCCTTTTCGGCTTCCACCAAAAAATTGAGGGCAGAGCAAGCCGCAATTTTCGCGCGGTAAAAATGCTGTAAACTTTTCAATTCAGTCGGAAACACTTGCTTGTTTGCCTTAGGTAGCCGTCATAACTTGCGAGCAGGCTTTTCGCGTGGCAACTGAAAAAAGGAGAGAAACTGAACGGGAAGAAGAGCCTGCCCGCACCGCTTTGAATTCTGAATCGGTGCGTCCAATGGCGCGCAGAGATAAAGTGCTTCGAACCGCTTGTGCCAAAATTTCAGAATAATTATTTTGTTTCCTTTCATACTTTCCTTCCCCACGAAGAGCCCGCTCGCGGGCTAGAGCCGTCACCGCAGTAACATGATGTCAGAATAACCTTATTAAAAAACCGTCGTTGCTTACGTTTATCACAGAATTGCACTGAGTGATTTGCCAAGCGGAATGTAACGCAACATGTTGGCATTCACATCCACTAATAAGGATAACGCGCGAAGGGAGAATTTGTGCAGTTCATCCCTCCGCCAATTGTATGTTAGTCCATGACATTGGCCTTTCCCAACTCCCACGTATTGCAGCCCTTGAATAAAATTTACTCGATGTTATAAAAGTTGGTCTGCTCTGTTTGACATGAAGCACACAAAGTATTCTGCGCCAAATTTTACTCCTTTTAAAATAGTCGTTCCGCTTTAACTTTTGCACGGTAGAATTATTTATTCGTCGTCATTAGCCAAAGTTTTGTTACAGCTAGAGGATATATTTTTTTCTTTTTCCTATTAAATGGTACGGTCCAAAGGTCTTTCGTTTCTCGTGCGATTCTAAAATTCTTCCTGCTTCGTCCTTCATAGACTTCATAGTACCGACCCACTACATCTAACAAAACGTCGGAAAATTTGAATCAAAAGTTATCAACTTGACAACTGTGATGTTGAGTGACTGAAAGGTTGATTAGAAATTTAATTTTACACGGTTTTTTTTATTATTATTTTAACATCCCAGAAAACTCACGTTAATGTCGTGACCTCCATAGCCAGCGGGCATCACGTGACTTCGTTTATGCAGATTATAAATAGACTGAACCTAAGTTGCATGTTGAACTTGTGTTGCAAATTGCTGGTTCTTGATGGATTTCTTGCTGAGAAGTTTCACTCGAAAGAAAGTCGTAGATCCAAGGACATTGACATCAACTCAGCTTAGCCGCTGTCTGTCGATCTTTGACTTGACAGTTCTCGGCGTTGGTAGTACACTTGGAGCCGGAATCTATGTGTTAGCCGGCGATGTTGCACGCAACGATGCCGGACCAGGCATCGTTATTTCATTTGCGATCGCTGCTATTGCCTCTATTCTCTCTGGCTTGTGCTACGGTGAGTTCGGGGCTCGGGTTCCTAAAGCTGGTTCAGCCTACGTCTACAGCTATGTAGCGATTGGAGAGCTGTGCGCTTTTGTGATCGGTTGGAACTTAATTTTGGAATATGTCATCGGAACGTCCTCAGTCGCCAGAGCGTGGAGCGCGTATTTTGATTCACTTTTTGATGGTCGGATAAAAAACTTTACCATCTCTACTATCGGCGAAGTTCACGTTAAAGGTCTGGCAGAATACTTGGATGTATTATCTGTGCTTGTGATTCTGGGATTGACCGTCGTCCTACTAGTTGGCATAAAGAAAACTGCCTGGTTCAATACAGTGTTCACTTCGATTAACATGTTTGTTATCGTGTTTATCGTGTGTGTTGGGGCGTACTATGCCGAGCACAAGAACTGGTCGGACTTTGCGCCGTATGGAGCTTCAGGGATTCTCGCTGGAGCAGCCACGTGTTTTTACGCGTTCGTTGGTTTTGACATAATTGCAACAACCGGAGAAGAAGCTCGAAACCCAAGTAAAGGAATACCCATCTCGATCGTGTTGGCTTTGTGTAAGTAGCAGGGTTTTTAGCTTTTAAGGAGCCTGAAATATTAGCCATCTTCGTTTCCTTTAAACGTGCTTTGGGCAAATGGGGCGCGTTGATTTAATTGCCCGCACAATACTTTTCAAAGATGTGCAGATGGCGTAAAGTTATATGTGCGTTAAGTTGAAGTTGTGTAAAACCTAGCGGTCAGGGCGGAAGTATCAGAATATTTCCCGTATAAGGATGTTTTAGGAAATCGGGATACCACTTGCTCTATTTAAAATAATCTTACTGATTCAAATTGATTATCGCTCAAGATTTGGGTTTTCACCTGGGGGTAGATTTCTATAGAGAGTAAGAGCTGGTTACTCCAATGTCTAAATTGACTCAAATGTCTCCGGAATTACCTAAACAAACAAACTCACTCTCGAACAACGTGTTTGGGATCAGGCAGTTTATTTTAATCCTACACATACAAGCAACTCGGGAAATGATTCATTCTAATTACAATCTTCGAATAATTAACAAATAAAGAAGCCTGAACCGTGTATTACACTGTTATAAAACACGACGGACATTTGAGAACATGAGGGAAATTTAGGAAATACGAGCCGCAGACGAGTGTTTTCTACATTTCTCGAGTGTTCTCAAATGTCCGGAGTGTTTCATCACAGTCTAATACACGGCTTAGGCTTCTTCATTTGCTTTATGATATGGATTTTACACGTGCAAAACAATAAAACACGCTTTTTTATGTTTTATACTCTGATAACACAAGGGTTTTTGACCAATCAGAGCGCGCGCGAGTCTCCTTCGCAGCCGTTTTTGGGATGTCACGCGTTGCGTGACATCCCACAAAACGGTTGCGGAGGAGCCTAAGCGCGCGCAGGTCCTATCTATATTATAAACTACGATAAAACTATAGGCCCATCGAGACCCTATACAAGATAATTATAAATACATAAATTACAACGAGATTATTAACACAAAAGAAATCATAACTTCCATAGAAGTTGGTGGGTGGGAAAGCTAATGCTGGTAACTTGAAAAAGCGCGAATAATAGATAGCTATTGCTCTATTGCTAGAATGATACTGATGTAAACTAGATCCTAACACTAGGTTACATACTAGGTATTAAGCAATACTACAGTTATTTTACTCTAAAGCACGTAGTGGAATTTCATTGGCTTGTTATAGTCTTATGACTTTGCTTAAAAGTTGCTCAATCGACTAAAATTAGGCTGTGACTTTTGTCTGAACCCAGCTGTGAGACTAAGGAGTGGTTGTCATGTCTTGATTAATATTAATGGTATTAATATTCAACTTCAAATGCACTAATTCTTGAAATCCTGATCTTTCCTTATATATTCCTTCTTAAAATCATCAAAAGTTCTTAAACGTTGACGAACCTATATGACGGGTAGCACAATGGAAAAAGGTGTTTAAAAAGTGGAAAGTATAGAACATTATTATATAGACACGAGTGTTTTACTGGAAAATACACCACACATAAAATTCATACGAAACCACATCCGGGACTCGGGTGGCGTATTTTGCATATCTCCACTAGTGAAGATATCGATTACTTCGCTGATATCATGTATTATCGAAACATCTTTAGATCTTCCTCGAAAGTCTTCGGCAATCTTCGGTAATCTTCTGAAATTTTTCGAAAAACATTCGTGTGGCCTTCGGACAATTTTGGAGATTCTTTGGAAATCTTCGGAAAGTGGTGGGAAATCTTCGGAAAAACGTCAAAAACTTCGTTATCAGTATGTCTATATAATAAAGAGAATAATACATGGTTGTTTGTAGAAATGGAATATCTCTTCTCGTTTTCAACTTTATATTTCACTAATTCGCTGCGCTAACTCGTGAGATATTGAGTTGAACACTCGAAGAGATGTTCCATATCTACGCGCGCCCATGTATTATCCTCTATCTATTTACGGTTTGGGTCGTGGAGGGCTCAGCAACTTGTGTTCCCGGTCGAATGGCCTGCTTAGCAGCCGCTTCCTTTCCTTTTCCAGGCGGTGTTGTGATTGGCATTTCTCCATGATCACGTGATGTATTCGCTCTTTACTGAATAACATAGTGTGTCTTGGATTCACTTATGGCTGGTCATTACAGGCGGAGTTCCCTTCGCGTGCTTTTTTGGAAACCTACGCAGGCTACCGGGCAAAGTGTATACAGACTAATTCTCTCCTAACATCAAACGTTTTCTTTACCACAGCTGTCTGTTTTCTGGCGTATTTCGGTGTTTCCACTGTCATGACTCTTATGTGGCCCTACAAGACGCTTCCTGAGGATGGGACATTGCCAAACGTGTTTGCCTTGAGAGGGGCTCCCTGGGCCAAATATATCATCGCTGTCGGAGCCCTGTGTGGACTGACGTCATCTCTACTGGGAGCACTGGTACCGCTACCTAGAATGTTGTATTCCATGGCAAGCGACGGCATCATTTTCAAGTAAGAATGCGCACATAATTTTACTGACAGGAAAAATCCACTGCAACACAAGTAAAATTAAAGTAACATGGTGGACCCTAAAGAGTTTGTCTTGGTTTCTTATAGAGGTACTTGGCCTGTGCCAGCTAGTTACTTACCCTATACTTTTTCGTTCGATTTCTACCCCGTTTCGGGGACTCTCGCTTGTGTCGGATAATTGGTACTTGCTTTTCGCAGTCGTTGGAAATGATCTGAAGTTTTTATTGAGTCAAAAGTAGGGGCACGGAACTTTCCTCGAGATTTCTAAATATAGGTCAATCTAAGCCTAGACTGCCCCAGATATAGGTGATGGGAGATGCACACCCCTTGTTATGAGTTCCCACGAAACACGACTAAAACCCGACTTTACTATATGGCTTGCTCCGTGAGCGGGCAGGATGAACCAAATCCTGCGCTGTTATTGGCTTAACGAGCGGTCAAGATGGCGCTATCTTGCCCGGCGCTCGGGATTACCTGCTATGTCCCGCAAGTTAATAGTGTTCTTTTTCCCTATGATAAATCCTTTATTGACCAAGCTTGTTCTTTTTTTGCGTGTTTATGGACCTCGACTTCGTCCCGGTCCATATTACTAAACACGCAAGAAAAGAGTTTATCCAACCATCTTGACTTCACGCTTGGTCAATAGCTCGACTATATTGTTTTCAGGTTCCTTGCAAAGGTCAACCCAAGGACAGAAATCCCAATGATCGCTACAGTGTTATCTGGAGTCTTGGCCGCGGTTCTTGCCTTTATTTTTGACCTGCACGCTTTGGTGGAAATGATGTCAATTGGAACGCTTTTGGCTTACACCATAGTTGCTGTGTGCGTTTTGATTCTAAGATACCAGCCTGGGACCATTGGCCTTGTCAAACAACCGAAAAATCCGGAAGAAAGCCTGCACCCCCCAATAGATGGTGAATATACGTCTAGAGAATCATTGTTATCAGGAGATGAAGTTTTCAGAAACCATTCTTCGCCTTCAGAAAGAAGTGGCTGGTTAGCGCAAATTACTACATGTGTGTCCTGTATTATTTCTGCAGGACTCAGTGCCATGATTATATGGGGCTCGCAAGACATTGTACAAGCAAAGTGGTGGGCCATTATAATAGTGGTTTTAATGGGCTTAGGTCTAATAGGCACCGTTATTGTCCTCCTCTGGCTGCCCCAGAATAAGACGCCCCTGGCGTTCAAGGTCCCGTTTGTCCCTATACTCCCACAGGTGTCGATATTCATCAACATATTTCTGATCTTGAAGCTATCGTACCTGACGTGGGTGAGGTTCGCAGTTTGGATGGTAATTGGTGAGTTTAACATTTCAGTTTGTATTATTATTTTTCCGAGTGTGCCGCATTTTTCCAAGTGTACCGCATTTTTTAAGTGTGCCGCATTTTTTCAAGTGTCCCGCATTTTTCCAAGTGTGCCGCATTTTTCCGAGTGTGCTGCATTTTTCCAGGCGTGCCACATTTTTCCAACTGTGCCGCAATTTCTCTGCTTTTCTTATTTAAATGCCAGCTAGTTAGCATAAGAACAAATTGATTTACACAACAAAACTAGTGAAGTCTTCATTAAAACAAGGTCACCTCCAGCTTCGTTGCCATTCCGAGGCCAGGTCACCTAGCTGTCAACTGTAAAATAGTCTATTAAGGTACTTGCTATCGAGGTTGTAGTTTCCTCAGCCCCACCTCGTTGCGTTTTAGCGCGCGTGTCCACCTCACCGGGTTAATATTTTGCTAAGCTTGCGATCTCGACGAACTTACGACAAAATTGAGGATCTGTGGACAAACTAAGGCGGCGGCGTAGAACTCTTGTTAGCGAACAAGGTCTTCCTCTACCATGCCAGCCAGCAATTAAGGATGAGATCAAATTGGGAACGACTCTTTACGCGGTCCGAATTCCCTCTTATCTGCTAAGCTGAGTCTTTAGGAGATAAAATGCGTTCATAATCCACCGTAGGAAAAAAGATGGCGGCTGTACATTTTACCACAATGCCTTGCGAACCTAACACAGCCTACGAGGCACAAAGAAAGGGAAATATTTTTCGCTGTACAAAGGAAATTGAATAGCCTAAGTTTGAAGATTTTATAACGTTTCTGTACGTTTTTATGAACGCTGTTAAGGTTTTCGTGCCCTAAGAACTATGAGTAAATGTACCAGTCGCCATCTTTTTCCTAGGTGGATTAAACACAGATTTAATGGAAGGATAGACTACGAGTAGTCCCTCTTTCGCTTAGTCCGTCGAGCGAGACCGGAAATGAACCACGAGGAGAAAATGGTCCCGTGAAATCCTGGGGGCGAGTTAGCGCGGCCATATATTTCTCGCGGTTTTCTTTCGCGTCACGTACGACGGACTAAGCATTTCCTTTATTCTCCCCTGACCCTCCCCTTTGGTAAAAAAAGAACTCGTGAACGATGCGTTGTCGCTTTCTAGGACTATTTAATCTCGTACCCCGGCTGGTTTTTCTGTCACATAAGCACATGCGACATAAACACAGTGGCGAATTTTCCCCAGTAAAAGGCCGTGTCTGTGTTTGTTGCTCATGCTTATACGCGAGTAAAAACCAGCCTGAATACTTCAGCCTCTGGCGGGGAGCGAGGATCGGCTACGAATGCGAAGGCTCGCACACTCCTGAAATTTCAAACGTTTCATGTTGTTGTCGTTTATAGTAAGTCACTTTCATTCCTGCTGTTTTTCTAGGCATGTCCATCTATTTGTTTTATGGTTTGCGGCACAGTGTGGAGGGCGAAAGACAGAGAGGTGAAACACACACGAATGCCCGGAGTGGAAATCACACTTGACACCGCTTAGCAGAAGAATTTCACAAGACTAGAAGAGCGAATTCTACGACTTCGCAAACCAGTAAATATGACGAAAGAACAAGAAGTTGTTAGCAAGGAAACTGACTTATTTCCCCCCCCCCCTTTTTTTTTTTAACAAGAACCTTTTTTGAATAAAAAGTTTGAAGCGGAGAAAACCCCAGATTTTAAGAACATGCTAAACACGCACGCTAGGCGTAAGAGTTACTACAGGAAGTTTATTTTGACAACTTTTTAAAACAACAGTACAATGGGCGTAAACATAGCGATAGCTGACCATGAACACAGATGAACTTGTCTTATTGAACCGTTCATTGGGAAACAACTGCGTTTGGATGATTGTCGTTTTTAGATTGGAACTATTAAAACAAATCTACTTAGACTAAAACGATTGGAAATGAACACGTAAAAAAGTAATTAAAAGCGGCCGGCCTCTGTCTGAAAAAAAAATGGACGTTTTTACAAAAAAATTGTATGAACGTGTTAGAACTTATTAGTTATTATTATTACAAGATTAAATTTTGGGCAAAGCCAGCAAGCAAGAGACGTTAATTTCGCGTGATGGTACTCGGGAAACAATGATAAAAACGCCATTCCAACGAAGTGTTAATCTTCTGCGATTCTTAGGACGACATAACTTGTTTTAGATGTAATCGATTAGACGCAAAATAGAATAAAAGGTCGTTGATAGATTCTTTAAAAGTGACAGTAATTATAACCTGCATAAATAACATATATTCATGAAATAAAATGTGTTTTTATTCATAATTAGTGTCCTCACGATCGATCCAGGGTAATTTTGCGTAATGCATTTTGTGGTATTGCTTTGCTGTCATCGAATTCTGGTTTCTGAGGCGGATCTGGGGAAGTGGGGGATTGGGAGATTCGGTCGAAATCCCTTAATCCCCTAAATTAAAAAAAAATGAGACATTATAACTCGCTGACTTGGCCTCAGAATGTGGAAAATCCCATTTCTGAGGACCTCAACCTTACAAATTTTGCGGGGGAAGATGCCACCCCTCCCCCTCATCTCCAAGCCCTTTTTCTAAAATCATGTATCCGTCCCAGGGTTTCTCTCGGAGATCTTGTAATGGCGTTTCGTCGCGGCCCTGTTCCAGTCCAACTGTACTTCAGCACAGTATTACTACAACTGTGCTAAGCATTCACCTTTTTTTCTTCTTTTTCTTTTTCACTCGTTTTTGGTCTGACTCACTTTCACGAGAGGCATGTTCGTCTTGAAATTTCTGCTCGTTATCTATTTGCACGTCTTTGTATTTCCGCTTTCTTTTTTTCATGCCTTTATCCTTTTTGCTCGACTTTGCTTTCTTGTTGTTTTCCTTTTCCGTCATTTCCCGTTCTTCTTTGACCACAAGAGTTTTAAGACCAGCTTGTGTTGTATTACTTCTACATCTGAAAGAAACCGTGACAAAGAAGTTACTTGGCTATGACAAATAAAACGGCCCAGGATTATCGTGTCGTAAGGGCAGATGAACGATTACGTCCTATTCCAAATAACCCATGAAAGATTTATATCGGTGCACGTTTTCAATTAAGTAATTTGTAAATTAAAACAGAACTTTTCTTATCTTTAATACCTGTCAACTGTCACCGCCAGTTTTTCCTGCTCCTCAACTCGCTGAAGCTTGCCATTCAAGCCCAACCCGTGACGAGCAGCCCTATAAACGGAAGAAACCAAACGGACAGCATTAGAAAAAGAAGAGTTCTTTTGAACGTGAACTTGTCAGCGAGGGTCTGGGACTAGGGCCTAAAGCAGGGGCAGGGAAATGAGCCACAAGCCCCATGCTGGTTAGGGAGTCAATACCGCCACGTCTCCACCGCGAGTAAATGGTTGCTACTTAGTCAAAGGTGTGACATGGATTGACTGAATGGTTCGTGCTCTAGATGGGCGATCCGGGTTCACGCCCAGGTCAGGGTAGCCCGTGCAAAAGCCGTCCTCCTTTTCGGGGAGGGGTGGCTGTGACACAGGCCAGAGTCACTGTGTTTGGTTCTTAGGCAAGGCACTTTACTCTTACAGTGCCTCTCGCCACCCAGGTGTATCAAGATGTACTGGTAAATTCATGGGGCAATCTGACATAATGCTTGGGAGAAACCTGTGATGGACTAGAATCCCATCCAGGGGGGAGTCGCAATACTCTTGGCCACTTCATGCTACAGAAACAGGAGTAAAATGCTGCAAGCTAGCTATGAAGCAGTACGGCTTAAAAAACTTTACTTCTTATTTTTAGTCAAGAGTAGTTTGGATTTCAAGAGACAGATTTAAAACGTTCAGGTTAGAAAAAGACACCAAAACTGAAAAAGATTTTTCTTACTTGTGAGCTGTTCTACCCCCACAGGCTTGAAAAAGTTTCTCCTCTGCACATCTAAAAATTTCACACAATAATATTACAAATTTCAAAGAAAGATCATTACAGTTTTAAGTAACGTTTTGCTGCAGCTGCAAAGAAGGCAGGGAAAAGAAATTTCAATATACTTACAGATGTGAAAAATCTCTTTCAGAGTCTGATTCGTCATCAGAATCAGGTGCTACACTGTCCAGTGTCTTACTTGAAGCCTAAGAAGGAGTGAACACAGATATCATAAAATACCATTGATAATGATTTGATTTAGCACCTGGGGTGCTAATTTCCATTTGGTCGCTCAAGGGATGGTGCTTATTGGAGAGGGGTGCTTATTAGAGAAGGGTGATATTCTCTAGAGAATTGTTCTTTCATCCATCTAAAAATTGTTCCTTCATATACATGCAACTATTCAAAAAATTTGAAAGCAAGAATTCTCATGAGTATCATCACATGGTCTGAAATGAGGCAACATAACATAAACATAACATACTTTATTTATACTTGATGATCTGGAACAAAGCACTCAAGCTGAAAAGGTCTATTATATTTAAGTGTGGTACAATACCTAAATTAAAAATACTTAAGCCTAAGAACTGTAACAACATGGGCTCTGATTGTCACAATATTCATATTATGTTCAGACAAGAAAGCAGACTTCATAATTTATTTGTCTAATCAGTCTATCCTATGTCAATGTTTTGAAAGTTATTTTCACTATGGGGCATTATTGGAAGGGGCACTTATCAGAATAGGGGCGCTTATAAATTTTTATGAGAATTCCATATCTAACATCTTTATCTTTGGACATGAAAGTGAGTGGGAACTGGGTTATGAGTACTGCAGAAGTGTGGTTTAAATGGGGAAAACTCGTAATTGCCTTCCTTTTTGCAAGCCAGCACTATGGAGATGAGAGAATGAACTGAAATGATGCTCACTCAGAATAGGAATAAACCATATTGGACTGGAACTCGCTTGCAATGGAGGCTGGTAAGGGAATATCATTTGCATTTGAAATGACTCTCTGCACTAGCCTCAGTTGCAAGCTAGTTCCAGTTCAATAGCAGAGGTGCGAATTTGGCATACTGGCAACTTTCTTTCAATGAGTATTAATATTAACCTTGACAAATCTGCCATATAACAGTGGTTTGTTTGTGTTCTTGCTTGGTCTTTTGCTGCTCACAGTACATGAATCTTTACTAGACTTCACTACCTCTACTCCTTCCTATGGAATGACAGAAGGTAAAAGAAAGAAATAAAGAAAAAAACCAACACAGGAATTGTATAGTCAAACTATATTAGCAGACAACTTTCAGAGGTGGAAACTGTATCCCTCTCTTCAAAAGAGACTTCACTCTTATCCTGAGTGAGGTGAGCATCTGCACTAACTCTAAATCTCATGCACATGCAGATCTCAGGGCAAGTTTGAGCGTGTCCTCCACCCCTAGCCCCTTCCCCCACCTTTCCTCAAGGGAAGTTCTTGTTTTGTTTTGTTTTGTTTTATTTTATAAACATGTCCCCAGACCCCCTAGGGCATGCCTTTGATAATCATTATGTAAAAAAAAATCCTCCAACTTCGCTTTGGAAGATGCAGTCATGCCATGTACACAACTCTTATGGCAGCATTCTTCATTCTGATGTGACATGCGGACATTAGTCTAAAGGTAGTAATTATTGTTATTTCTAATGTCCTTACATCGCTTTCCTGTACCACAATGCTTTTTGCAGTTTTGTTAAAGACATGGTCCCACCAGTGAAAACTAAACTGATCACCGGCATCATAACCAACCTTTTGTAACATGAAAAAAAGAGATACAGTTAAGCATTGTTTTAACAACTAAGAGTTTTTCTTATACATTGAGTAGCATGCTCATCTTAAAATATAAACATTTAATCAGATGGTTTTATTAAGCAGTGCACTACATATTTCTGTGTTTACCATTCTGTTTGATGGGGGAAAGATATCATCAATTTTGGTTTGGTGGTGGAAGCACTATTGGGAGTGAGATACCAAAAGGCCAATAATGTGTTTTACATTTCAATGCCAAAAACAAACTTACTAAACTGTACAAAAAATCATCCATGGATATGTGTGCAATTCATCAAGGTTGTGTCCTTTTTTTTAATGCTTTCGAATGTAAATCAGTAATTATCTGTAGATGTATATGTACACATTTGACTGCTAGTGGCCTTGACTGGACTGCTGCACTGTTTGGTATACCAAGATCTTTAACCTTAATATTTGTAAAGGGGTTTGACATATTAGGGTTAGTGGTAGTGGTAGTGGTAGTGGTAGGGGTAGTGGTAGTGACAGTGGCAGTGGCAGTGGCAGTGGCAGTGGCAGTGGCAGTGGCAGAGGCAGTGGCAGTGGCAGTGGCAGTGGCAGTGGCAGTGGCAGTGGCAGTGGCAGTGGCAGTGGCAGTGGCACAAGCACTGGCACTGGCAGAGGCAGTGGTAGTGGTAGTGGTAGTGGTAGGAGTAGGAGTAGGAGTAGGAGCAGCAGCAGCAGCAGCAGTAGCAGCAGCAGTAGCAGCAGAAGAGGCGGTAGCAGCAGTAGCGGCAGGAGCGGCAACAGCAGCAGCAGTAGCAGCAGTAGCAGTAGCAGTAGCAGTA